AACAGCGGGCGGTGCTCGAAGCTGAGCCGTGCTCAGCTTTTTCGATGGATCCGAGGGACCTTTGGGCTGGCGTGCTGCAGCAGCCCCCAGCAGGACAGCGGGGTTCGCTGGCTCCCAGAGGCGAGCGACCTGGATCAGCTTTTGTTGAGCGGTCGCCTTTTCGTCTGGCACGCCGTGCACCTCATCTTGGATTGCCAGTGCCGTGCCGCTCGTCACCCTCCCTTGATCGGAGGTGCTCGATGTATAGGAGCGACGTACCTAGGTGTAGAGACGATCCAGCGTCCCACAGGTTGGAAAGTTGGAGCGTCTACACATCGAGCTCCCGGGGCGACCAGGCGACTTGGTGTATCCTTCGAGCCACTCCCGCTTGAGATTGTTCTGCAGGGTCCAGCGATGAGCCCCGGGTATCGGACCCGCCCGCCCTTTGCGGAAAGGTTAGGTTGTCGGCCGGCACTTCTTCCCCCCTTCCTCAGCCCTCCACCTCCCTCCCCCAACGGATAACCTGTGCTACCGCCGAAGAGTTTGACACATTCTCCATGCCGTTCCGCCCCTCATCCTTCCGGCGACGGCAGGGGGAGGGAGGCGACGTGGGTGTTCCGGGGGCTCCAGATGGAGGCCCCCCGAGGCCCATCAAGTTTAATCCTCGCACGGCGATTGCGACCGCCGCCGGCGACCGGCGACCGATGACCGACAACGACATCGAACGACTTCACCGACGTGCGACGCCGACGGACGACGGCGAGCAGCGGCGATGGCGAGGCTCGAAGAAGATATAATTGCCTAAGCATACTCTTTTGACGATCCGCGCAGGGCCCCTCTCCCTGGCGCGCGGAGCTCGCCTGGGCCGGCGCCCGAGGCGTCGCCAGGAGGCCCCAGCGCAGGTACAAGAAGTCCGTTCAGACGCTCGATTGTGTATGGTTAGCCTTAAGGCGGGCGTGTCCCTCTAATAGTCTGGGGGCGATGTGTCGCATGCTTGTTTTTTGTTCTAATCATCCTGGGGTGTTGGGCCCTCGTTTTGAAGAGACAGTCCCCGCGTTTCTCCTCCTCTCGCTGCCCCCCCGTCCCTCTCCCTCTCATCAGCATCATCAGCATCATCATCATCAGCATCATCAGCATCGTCATCAGCATCATCATCATCAGCATCATCATCAGCATCGTCATCATCATCACCAGCATCATCATCATATTCGTCGTCGTCATAATCATCATCACATTCACCATCAGTAGCATCATCATTATCATCAGAATCATCATCATCATGGTCATCGTCATCGTCATCGTCATCGTCATCATCATTTCCAGCATCATGATCATCATCATCATCATCATCATCATCATCATCATCATCATCACCATCACCATCACCATCACCATCACCATCGCCATCATCATCGCCGTTATCATCACCATTATCGACACCCATTTCGGCACACCACTCACACGTTGTCGTGGCCCCGTAAGGAGATCCACCGAAGGTCCCAGAGCTGCCGCCCGCATGCGTCCCCCCACGCAGTACAGCGTTTCGTGGCCCCGTAAGGAGATCCACTGAAGGTCCCAGAGCTGCCGCCCGCATGTGACCCCCCTACCCAGTACAAGGTTTCGTGGCCCCATGGGGAGCTCCACCGAAGGCCCCAGCGCTACCGCCCGCATGCGTTTCCCCCACCTGGTACAGCGTTTTGTGGCTCTATTTGCAGCTCCACCGACCGCCCGCATGCGTCCCCCCGTCCCAGTACAGCGCATCGTGGCCCCATAGGGAGATTCGCCGAAGGTCCCAGTGCTACCGCCCGCATGCGTTTCCCCCACCTGGTACAGCGTTTTGTGGCTCTGTTGGCAGCTCCACCGACGGCCCCAGTGCTACCGCCCGCATGCGTCCCCCCGTCCCAGTACAACGTATCGTGGCCCCATAGGGAGATTCACCGAAGGTCCCAGTGCTACCGCCCGCATGCGTTCCCCACACCTGGTTCAGCGTTTCGTGGCCCCATGGGGAGCTCCACCGAAGGTCCCAGTGCTACAGCCCGCATGCTTCCCCCGCACCCAATACAGCGTGTCGTGGCCCCATAAGGAGCCTCGCCGATGGCCCCAGTGCGACCGCCCGCATGCGTCCCCCCACCCAGTACAGCGTTTCGTGGCCCCGTAGGGATCTTCGCCAAAGGTCCCAGCGCTACCGCCCGCATGAGTCCCCTCCCACCCAATACAGCGTGTCGTGGCCCCAAAGCTAGGGAGCTCCACGGAAGGTCGCAGTGCTATCGCCCCCATTCCCCCCCCACCCAGTACAATGTTTCGTGGCCCCATAGGGAGATTCACCGAAGGTCCCAGTGCTACCGCCCGCATGCGTTCCCCCCCACCTGGTATAGCGTTTCGTGGACCCAAGGGGAGCTCCACCGAAGAAGGTTTTCTCAATTGCGGTGCTCACAACTGCATATGGTTCGGTCCTTCGCCAGGCTAATCTTAGCAGTGTTTGACTCTTGTTTAACTTCTGCCCCAACAAAAGCCTGTAGGAAGACACGCCCGACCTAAGGGTCAGCGCAGATCCAAGAAATCCGTGCAGACGCTGTACTGTGTACGGTTAGCCGTGTTTCCTTCTTCGAGGGGCAGCGAGCGGCGGCGTCGGCGAGCGCCGCAGGTGCTCCACTACGAGGAGCTGGCGGCCCTGCCGCGCCCCTGTGCTGTTTGCTTCTACCCAGACTTGCTCTTAGAGACCTGCCCCCTCTCAGGCAGGGACAGTCAGGAGGGGAACGGAAACACACAGACACAATGAATCGTCGATCCCCTGGAAGAAAATCGGAACACCAGGAAAGTACACGTGTGGGGGAGGACGAGCACCCAGAACATCTGGAACACAAGGGACAACCTGGGATGTGCGTCTACGTACTTGTGTGTATGTCCCTGGGCCCCCATCAGGCAGGGTTTCGCTTGCGATGCTTGCCCGTGAGCTGGGAGACGCAGATGCTTCGTTTTTGGCCGCGAGGCGGCGAGGCCTGCCGTGGAGCGGCGCGGGCTCCCGAGCGGGACGGCGGGCTCCCCCCGCCCCGTGGCCTCCGCAGCTCTCCGCGAGCAGCGTGTTGCACCCGGGGGCTCCTGCTCCTGGACTTCCGAGTGCGGGCCCGCAGAGTAGACGCCACCACCACGCCGATTCCTCCTCCCTCCTCCACCGTCACCCTCCTCGCCTCTTTCCTGGGAGAAGAGGGAGGGGAGGAGGGAGGCGGAGGTGGTACGTACCCTTGGGCCCCGCACTTCGGGAACTGGACGGGTGTCTAGGGCTTTCGCCACGCTCGAAGAAGAAGAAGAAGACGAAGCAATGCCATCAGCATGAACCTTTGGCGCTCCGCGCGGATCTCTCAGATCCGCGCTGGGGCCCCCCCGGCGGCGCCTCCAGCGCCGCCCCTGGCACGCCCTCGCGCGCCAGGGAGAGGGGCCCGGCGCCGATCCGAGAAATCCGCGCGGAGCGCCAGCAGTTTGTGTTTCTGCCGTTTGTTCGTTGTCGATCGTTGCCGCGTCTCCTGGGCCGCGCGCAAGAACGACCAACTTCGGCGTCCAAGGCCCTTGATGTCCTTACCCATCGGTCGTTGAAAGTAGGTATTTTGGGATTCCCAGATTTCAATCTACTTCCAGCGCCTTCCCACTTCAAGAGTCGAGTGGCGTTCCCTCTTCCCTCCTCAGGAGGCGAGCGGAAACCCAATCTATTTCCAACGCCTTCCTGCTTCATGTTTCTACATACTTCTTCCGACCGATGGGTACAGTGGGGTCCCATGCCAAGAAGCACCCTGCTTGCCTCCAGGGTGCCCTTGGGTTCCTAGGGTTTCCATGGCTTGGCCATGGAGAGAGCGCGACGTCCCCACACCAAACGTCCATGGACGTCCTGAGGTCTCGGGGCTGGGTTTCTTGTGGAAGGTCTCTTGCGGTCGGGCCCCTGCTGTACCGCCCGTCCTTGCCACACAGTCAACCCAAATCCGCCTGTAGGGGGGCACGCCCGACTTAATTTCAGCCTGCGCCGCATGTCTTACACCACGCCGCACACCTGCGAGCGGTGGCAGACCGCTGCTGCTAGCACGGGTCGCAGTAGAGGCTCTTCCGTGGGCTCCCGCGGGAGCGTACAGACCCTGCACCCTCCCGCATTGAGGCGGGGTGTGTGGTCAGTGAAAAAGCAAGCTTACACACAGCTTCCTCCGGTCAGAATGCACCGCACAGCGTACACCGACCATTGGGGAGGAACTCGCTTTTATACACGTTCTCGAAATTGCAGATGTGCAGTTTTTTGGTCCCAGTTCTACACATTGCTACGTGATGTGTAGAAGTCCAGTCCGTTCTGCCCGTCATTTCTGCTTCAAGAGTAGATGCTGCGTTTTGTTTCTACACATGTCCGTGCGATGTGTCGAAAATCCGTGTTCTGATGTGTAGAGTTGGTTCGCCGAAGACAAAGTATACATATCCACGCATATGGAGAATTTTATGTCTAGTTATGACCCCCCACGAGTTTGAGGGCGTGCAGATAACCGAAATTTGCACGACATAGTTTGTGCCACGTAGTGTGCACCACATCCTGTTCACCTCCAT